TTTCTAGAAATCAATCGATACTTTGCTTTGACATTATACTGCTACACGCTGCAACACGATTGGCCAATCGAACAATGCCTTCCCCATATTAGGGTTTTCTTTGGCGAGAAAACGCAGCGGCCGTGTTTTGATCTTTCCATCCACTGGCTCAAATAACGAAGACTTACCGAAACCATAAAAGGTCATACGAAAATCGCTCAAATACTTAACAGCAAATAAACAGATGGCGGGGATGGACAAACTTGAAGAAGTTTAAAGGGATTGCAATTGCAGGTTTTTGCAAACTCACGTAACAGTTAGGCCCCGGCCGTTTACACCGGTGTGGACAAATTTTTGAACGGACAAAGACTTGCACGGATCCGTCTTCCGTTTACACGGTTCTCGCGGAACCGTGCAAGTTTTTGAGCGGCAAAAAGTACTGCAATCTGTACCAAAAGTTCTGTGTAAACTGGTTGCACCGGTAAAAATTCGTGAGTTCAAAAATTTGTCTAAAAAATCGTCATCGATTTCTATCGGAAAATCATCGATATTAATCGAAGTCATACTTTTTTTTATTTATCGATTCCTGTCGATCGATATCGGAAATCGTTATTCATCGATGATTGAAATCGATTACTATTGATTAATATCGATTATCAGCTTATCGATTAACTACGTCTGTTATAGTGTCTGTTTAAGGTGCGACTTATAGGTGCATCTCATAATTGCACGCCAATGTCATATGGAACATTACTTCAGTCTCTTAGGCCGGCGGTTCAGACGCCCGAACTTTTCGTGAACCGAACCTAAGTACAGTGAGTTACATGAAAGTTCGGCGTCTAAATCTAGTGGGAACGCCTGTTTCAATTTGGAACGGCTCAGCCGTTCTTCCCGCCTAGCCCGGCCGGGAATTTCGAATTTGGATCGAGTTTGGAACGGCCTTGCTTCAGACGCCGACCTTTTCCGGCTACGCAAAATATATATTTACTGAAAATTAATAAAGAGCTTTAGTGTTTTCAGTACCTATGTAGTCGTGCTGACTCTGTCAGGGCCATCGAAAAAGTCTTATTACAGGAGAAAACTCCTAAAAACTATTCTTGGAAGGGAAAAAATGAAATTCTTGCAGCCAGAATAAAATCTTGTTACACTGCCGGCCCTTTTCTACGTCTTTTGGATATTCCTGGGACTGAGCCTTGACGTTTTTCGAAAATGTTTCTCAGCTGGGATTGATGCCTAGTATAAGCCCACTTGAAGTGAAAACAAGAAAAGAAAATAAAGAAGAAATGGAGAAAGGGGACTAAAGAAAGCCAAAGATCTTAAGATCAAATCCAAAAAAACGCAAAATCCAAAAACCTTGTACCAGAATAATTTCAAGCTTATTGCATTCCTCTAAGTTTTTGACTCTTTTCAACCGCTATAAATGTAAAAACTTGTATAGAATAACTCCGAAGAAAAGGTTCTTATTGAAGCTGAGGAAAAAAATATCCAAAAAGCTCAAATTTCACGAAATGAGATCTTTCGCATGACAATTTTACCTGTGTTTTCTCAATTCCTCTTAAGTTTGTAATTTATTTTCTCGGGCTCCCGTCATAGTAAGAAATTGTCTTTGGTGTTGGATAACTAATTCCATCTATACATAATAGCCCTTGAAAAGTGTAAAAAAGAATGCGATATTGATTAAAATATTTTGGTACAATTTTTAGTCCACAGAAAATTAAAACTGTCCTTGTAGACAATTTCCGTCCTAACAGTAAAGCTTGCAATTACGCCGTTCAAAAACGTTTACCCTCTGCGCATACCCTTCTTATTTGATCTCTCACCGAGGTGTCTCGTGTCATCGATTGGCCTGACCGAGCGAAAGAAAGCAACGAAAAAGATAACAAGTTCTTATAAATAATTCTCGCGGAGCGAGTTTATAATTTTGTCGCGCGCGCTTTAACTAGCTAAAATTTCTTCATTCTCGATATTTTTTACCAACTAGTTGGATTTTACTAAAACAATTATTCCTCTCGCCCTCATGGCCTGATGGCCGATAGAAAGATTTATGACCAAAGCGAAATCGTACTTAAAGCTAGACTTTTAATCCCTTTTTGCCGTCAAAAAGCCCGCGCTTTTCGCTACTAGTGGGCTCAACACCAGCATCATTCATTTTGTACAGTAGAACTTCGACAACTCGAACTCGGATAACTCGAATTTCCCGCTAACTCGAACTGTTTTTCATTTCTCTTAGAGTTCGAGTTGCCGCGGCTCTAATGTATTGCGAGCTAGTGCCCCTTTAACAGAACATGCGTGGCTGAAAATTCGCTAAGCATTTTTCGGGTAATGTGGAGATGAGATGTAGAGATGTATAGATGAGATGTATTATGGAGGACAGAAGTGGAAGATAGTCGTTATGGAGATCACTGAATATATTGCATGGCAAGTATTTGAAGGAGAAGAAAAGCAGGGGGAATGAAGACGCGCGTTAACGGAATACCATTTATAAACTCAAGCGCTTGTAACGTAGATTTGGGAGATAAAGTGAGAAGGAGAATTGGAAACACAACGCTCTGTGTGAAAGTATTTAGAAAAGCTGGGAGAGCCTGGTAAAAAAGATTCAACATTTTCATAGTGATGAGTTAAGCAAAGACTTCAGTTTTGAGCGACGCACGTCAAACGAAAGTGAACTTTTTGCATCCTTCGCTTGGGCAGTATGCTGCCCACATTTTCGGGAAAAGCGTTCTACATTAGAACTCTGGTAACTCGAACTGTGAAGGAAAACGAAAAACAGTTCGAGTTAGAGGGGAATCAGTGAGTCATCGGGGTAAATTTCAGGGAAATTTTGATCAAGGGATCAAAGGAAATTTGTTTCGATTTAGCGGAGAATTCAAGTTATCCTAGTTCGAATTATCGAGGTTCTACTGTAGAGGATTAATTAAAGGCACTTAGAAATAGAAATTTGGGCTTCATGACATATTTAAAAAGAAAAACGTCTCACTTCCTATTGACGCGTGCGTCGCTCAAAAACGCCTTTGCTTGAGCTCCGAGGAGACAATGTTGCGCCAAAGTTTAAAAAAAAAACTGTACGAGGTCACCATGTCACAACGCTAATGCCAGTGGTTAGAAAGGATGTCAAGAACTTTGCATTGCGGGCTCTAAAGAAATGATGAGGCAGGGACATTAAAAGAATGTCTATTTGAGTTGGTCGTTTTTAGATATAACGAGTAAAAAATAGAAATAGTAAGTCTTGTTTTAAGCTCACCACCGACCTCAACTAACCAACAATGGTCAGAATGGTTTCCGCAAACACAATAACAATTTGCATAGTTACTGTTCCTCTAAAACAAAGGGTGTTATGATTCACGTTCGATGTTTTGTTTTTTATGAATTTTAAAAACAAACTCGGAAAAAAGTATAAACACACCATGAATCAATTTTGGTTCGGCGAAAACCAATGCGTCAGTTGCATTTTTAGCTCGTTGTTGAATTTCGTCGTTTACACGTCGTCATTCTCTTCTCTAGCTTCAAATCAGTGGTTAAATGAAACAGTCTTTGTGTGCACCAAAAGAAAAAAAACAACAACAACTATCAATATTAGTACAGTTTTGGTCGTTCTGTGAAAGCGCTAACGTTACAGTAAACTATAAATGAACGCCGGTCCGCTAAGGGGACATGTACAGTGGTTGATTTTTCCTTCTTGTATTATGATTTGATGTACACAGTTTCACGGTTATATCTGATTAGTTCTTTATAATAATCAACGCAGTTTACTAGCCTCGCCAAAACAACGAAGAATTCGATGTAATATAAGCGTCGCCGTTTCATGAATCTGGGAATGTCTGCATCGATAATCAGAATGCCGTTTCTTTCAACGTACTTTAAGTTCTTAAAAAAAAGTTTAAATCAAACGAGCAGGCCAGCAAAAGTTTAATTCGAAGGTTCTTCCCTTTGCCATTCCAAATCACAGCAACGAACAAACCAGTTACAGATAGAGGATCAGTATTGTCCAATCAGTTTTATCAGTTATAGTGACGTCAGTATTTTCTGATTGGCTGACATTTCCTCTATTGTTCTGTTCCCTATATATTTGCGATACCACCCGGATGGTTTGGGCGGATCAGTAAAACCAGCGCACAAAAAACTTCTCTTGCCAACACCTCAGGATAGCAAAATACAATCCCACCCTCAGTCTCAATCTCAAGCGCCACCCGACATAGTTATGCATATTCACTGAGGCGCTTTTAAATCATTGTACATCTTTGTGGACAACCGCGACTCTATCGTTTGGTATCCGCAATTGCCTAGCAACAAGCCATGAACAAATCCACCATTCAACATGACGTCATCGTGCATTTCGGGTTTCCGACTTTTTATTCATCCTCTGTTTATGTTGGCGAATCGCAAAGTATTTCTGAGGCAAATAACAGCGGGCTGCAAACACAACAGTGCCCAGTTGGACAAGTGACTGGAAATCCTTGCCGTGGAAGGTTTAACAGCTTATAGAAAGCCCTAGAGTGAATACTAGAGTGAATAAACTCGGAAATAATGCGAAATGGTTTTGAAATACTCGTTTGAGCTTTTTTTCCTCAAATGTATTTTTGAATTCATGATAAATACAGCTTAATAAGGTTCAAACAATTTGAATAGCAGAGAAAAATACTTCAACACTATTAATTTTGACATGTACTCGGCGCAGTGGTCGCATGACCCAGTGGTAGTACGGTGGCCCATAGAGGACACGGTACCTACATTTTTATATCGCGCGCTAATTTTTAGTTTTTTTCCTTTGAATTTAGTTCTGCGGGAATTAAGATCTGCGTCTGGATCAAGCCGGTCTAAAAAATTTCGGTCGGCCTTAATTTGAATGAGAGTTCGGCTGATGAAAATTTTGGCGTCAGTGAACCGGGCCTTATTTAAGACGCTTCTTAAGTAAGACGTGTGTTATTTTGTCCAGTATATAATGGCCCTTAATTCAGCTGTGCTTTTATCAGTAACTTGCTATATTATTGCACATGCTATAAACTAAAGGATATTTTTTTTTTTACCTTTTTCCAGGATTTTACAAACACTGTGCTAATTCCATTTATTGCCCAAGTTGTATACGGCAGGTGTACTTGAACCTGTTCGGGAGAAGTTTGTGTTTGGCAAGTGTATCACCATCAGAGTTCGACTGTACACCGCATCACTTTAGCAGTATATTCACTGCTCCTGATACAGCAGGCACCTATAACATCAAGGTAATCAGTCAAGAGAAAATGAAGGGATCAGCCGGTAGTATTCATACTAATGCACACACATCAAGTATTCAAAAATTTATCTAGCCGAATTTTTGAAAAAGTTACCGCCAAATAATAGACCTACTCTGCCAAGCAGCTTTTTGGGCCACAACAAAGGCAGTATAAAAGCTAAAAGTGAAACCATTGCCTTTTTCTGCTCTTTTCCTTTCTTCCTCCTCGTTCTTTCTTTTTCTCCTTTCCTTTTCCTTGCTAATATGCATGAGCTTATCAGGCGCTAAAAGCTTCCTTTTGGCCCTTTTTTATTTTTAACGATCACTCATACATCATCATCATAATCAACATTGTTATATTCGTCATCATCACCATATCATCACAATTTCGTCGATATTCTTTCAACATTATCAAGCATCATCACTACCATTCTAATCTTCCCCTTGTATCTTTCTTTTTTCTCTTTTCTAATGCCCGTCTGCAACAAATAGTTATTCTACAGGTGATGTTACACGAGACGATTCGCAACGACGATTTTTAGCGCAACACAGCGTTGCAACATTGTTGCGACATTGTTTTGAATAGTTACAACATTGTTCCAACATTGCAACGCCGTGTTGCGCTAAAAATAGTCGATGCGAATCTTCCCGTGCAACATCACCTTAACGTGATAACGATTCCAAAAAAGAACCCATCGCGTTTGACACGAAAAGTTCAGGAACAAATATCCTCATGTTTTTCAACCAAGATAACGTTTAGTGGCCAGAGTTAAGAAAGAGATGACTTCACCGGTGTACTGATAGTAAAGCTGAGCGCAAAACTGATTTTTATAATTATTATACATTGTACTCGTTATCTCTCTTCCGATTGGCTAGAGCGTACAGTTGATCTCGGAAATCAGCGTAACCTACAGATTAGTAAGTTACCCTATTTCCTCGAATAATAGCCGTCCCTCGATTAATCGCCTTCCTCGAATAATCACCCATCCTCACCCCTTTCGCCATCTTCTCCTTTTATTACCTCCCTGTCAAGTTGAAATGGAGTCTGATCCAGCAAATTTGATCATTGGCGATTCAAGTTCTGACGCCTAAGATAATGACCTGAAAATTAATCAAGGGACCAAATTTGGAAGCCCATGTTTAGTTTATTTGATGTGATCATTTTTTGTTTAATGAGATGATAAAACAAAATATTTAGGGCACGACTTCCAGTGAGCAGAATTTAAAATAATCGTCTCCCTCGAAATAATCGCCCCCTGCCAGTTATTCGAGGAAAGAAGATCCACAAGGTTTTTGTGCAATCCGAAAGAACGAAGAGCGCTCGGACTCTGCTGGTAACAATTCAGTTATCTCGACCTCGATTATTCCAGATATCAACCGAATCCAATAAATTTTTACAATCAAACGCTAATTCAGCGATATCCGACAAATCTTCCAAGCTTTTTATTGCACTCCATCCCATAACAATCAAGTGATTTTTATTGTGTGCGTGCATTTATTCTTTCTGATTAGATGGAGGAGAAACTTGCTTATAAATGTGAAACAAGTCGCACTTCAAGCAAGGGATCAGTTGTTGGGACAGTTTTTATCGAAGGTTAGATCCAAACGATTTAACTATTAATGTGATTTCTTTTCAAGTTATCTTCACAGTTTTGTTCAGTTGCTTATTGTTTTTATCTCAGAGCCTCCTTCCATAGCGAACAAGATCGCCCCTCGAACTGTTTTCACTGGAGATTCTTTTATTCTTAATTGCTCGGCAAACGGCTATCCTACACCTGTAGTCCGATGGTTTAAAGACGGAAGTTTGATTTACCAAAATACCAGCCTAGCGTTCCCCTCTCTAAATCAGTCAGATACAGGCCTTTACATGTGTAACGCGTCCAATATTGCCGGAAGCGATACGTATGAGGTGCAACTTGTTGTGAGAGGTAGGGAATCAGTCGCCAAAGTACGTTCACGTCTCAATAGTTTATTATTTTAAGATCTTATTCCTCTCCCAAAAACACAACCATAACTGTAAAACTACCACTACCACACTATCACTAACACCAACACTAAGTAACATTAACACACTGACTTATTAACACTATTACTATCACCAAGACTAACAATACAGCGACAATATCATAAACTTGTAGTAACGCCTCCAATAACACTGGCTGATAACAACATTAACACCAACACTAACAAACCTGAAATTAACAACGCTAACAAACATTACCACTAACACTGCTCTACCACTAACTCGATACCACCAGCACTGGCGTAAACATTACCACTATAGCACTAACACTGACATAATCACTAACACTAATAGTAACACTAACAATACCGCTACTTTACCACTTTCCTCACCACCAATACTCTACCACTCACACCAACACTAACAACTGTAGCATGGAGTACTAGACACGAATTATGTCGTTCGACTTCATATGAAGTAACTTTATTTAAAAACTCCTACCTAGCATTAACATGACGAAACATGAGAGGGCCTCGAAGGAAGGTTTATCATAAGAAGTAATTCAAATGAAAAACAGACTGGTTGATACATCCCTATAATAATCTGCGAACTCAATGCTTGTTGAAAAGAAGTCTTTATAGTAGCGAAAGCGGACATAAACAAAGAGGCAAAATACAAATGAACTATAAAACCAGCTGTCAGACAACACGTTTATCCGTGTAGACAATGATTAAGTTGGGCCCAGTCATTCGCAAGCTTTGCGGCCCACAGCTCCCCTACATAAATGATGTCACCATTTCTGAAAGATGGATATCATGCATATAACCGATATTATAAACAGCTGGTTTTTTCTTTTCTTTTCCATTCAGAGCGAAGACCTATTCTTCAACAAAGAGTCTTAATCCTAAATGCTTCTGACAATTTGCTTGCAAAGTAAGTGATAAAAATGACAGAATATCCCTTCCCCGGAGTAGTTTTAAGACGCGAAGGGGAATTAACTATAATATAGCTCTGGACATTCATTCAGACGTATGGCCAGACATTACTGGTCAGTTTGGGTGTGGTCATATGGTCATAGAGAAAAATTCACCCCTTCAGTGGAGGGGGGGGGCAGGGGGGGGAGGGGAGAGAGGTTGCTGAAAAATAACACGTAGCAGCTATTAATGACATCTAATCCTCTCAGACACCCTGAATTGTCAATTTCCCAGCAACACTTTCCTTCCAAGGACAAATTATTTTTTCCCACATTTCCCAGCCAGCAAAATTTTGCCTGTAGAACAGTACAGTACTAGTGCTAGAAGTAGAAGTCGTAATATTCCCATCATAGGAGTTGAAAATTCCTCATTTATCCAAAACCTCTTAAAAGAAAAATACAACGACACTACAGCGACAACCAGTGAGGAGTGACCTGCATCTATATACTATAATCGTAACAAAATAACCGTAATTAAATTCCTGTGACACGGCGAAAACGCAGAGAGGGAGAGACTTTGGGCGTTGGTGGGCGTTGGCTAAACTGGGATAATAATTTCAAATACGGTTATTTATTTCACTAAGGTTAGTTATGGAAATCTCAAGTTAGTTGACAGTGAAGTCCGCAAACCTTAATTGTTACGGTATTTTCATTCGTGCAGATTGATACCTAGTGTAGCAAATACGAGCCATTGATGACACGAACTTTTTTGTCGTTTTTAAATCTTATTAAAATATGTATAACTGTATCCGAAAAATGAACTTGTCAAAAAACTTGCAGAACTTTTTTTCTGTTTCTTTTAAAACACGCAAATTTCCAAGGCTCCAAAACTGTCCTACCCAGTCGCGCGGCCAAATTAACAAGTTTGACTAGAATGAGTGGAAGCATGTAGAATAATTAAATGCGAAGGATTTTCGATGTCGAAAACTTCCCAACATTGCAGTAAGGCTTCTAAAATCAACACTGCAAGAAAGTGCCAACTGCCTATGTTGTAGTGTATTTTTTACTGTGTTTGTGTTATATTTATTTTATTTTGTTTTTCTTTGCTTTGTTTTGTTTTGTTTTGTTTTTGTTTTTTTTTTTCACAATCGACACTTTTTTCTTTTCAGTGATGCTGTGACATTTAAAATCTTTCTCACCCATGACGCCTTATCAAGTGACCATGCGTGGAATGTAGTATTGGTTTGGATCTTACCTCATTACGCGCGCTTCCTCAGTCACGTACCCAAGAAAAACATCACCAATCCCTACCCTGGAGAGTATAGAATTAAGGTAGGATATATAATGGACGACTTTCTTGTTTTTTATACAGGATCTAAAAACTTTGCTCCATAAAATTCACTAAAATGATCTTAAATTGATATCAAGCTTAACTTCTGAGACTAAGTGGATGAGAAAATTGTTTGGCTTGGAATAGTACTGAAAAATATTGCTATTTCCTGCCTTCCTTTTCCCGACATATTTTTTTCCACGAAAAGAAAGTTTTTGACTTTCATTTCTTCTCTCACAGCCAATTTATTTTTTATTTTCCACGAAAGTAAAATTTTTACAGCCGACATTTAGATGTCTTTTTTTTTTCTCGTTTTTGAGAAATAAATGAAAACTAAAATAAAATCTTTACATATAAAGCTTCTTTTCGATATGGATTTAAACCTGTTGTTAAAACGAAAGAAAGAAAGAAAGAAAACATTGGACCTAGGGGTAGACCGTTTTACAACAACAACAAAAACAACTTAATTTACATTTCTCTTAGACTTCGTTGAAAATATATTTCTGCTTTTTTTTTGCTTTTGTTTGGAAAACAGATTTTTAAAAGTAACAAAAACTGTAAGTATAAGTTAAAGAAGGAAATGCCCAGAGCCTAATTTTTACAGAACCGCAAGGTTTTCGGATTATTCTCTATTTTTTTATGTAGCTAGACTCACAAACAAAAACATGCATGCCAGTAGAATAAAACAAATAAATAAGAAACCATATGCCAAGGCAAAGCAAAAGAGGGGGAAGAGAGAGAAAGAAAGAGATGCAAGTGCACAGCACAGCTAAAGCAGTAGCTTACCTTTTTTGTCCAGGTTGGTAAGATTGAGCTGACATTCTCAAGGGAAATCAACATTACTGTTCAAATTGACCCGGAAAGTAAGTTATCAACGGGAGGTCACTTTCTTTCCATACCGACCTACATCATGTACGAAAAGCGCATGTCAGGAGATGCAAATGAAATGTTTGTAGGCTCAATTGAGGCCGTGACAGTCAATTTCACAGTAAAGGAAAGTAAGTATATCTACCAAGTTGGCGTTATTTGTGTTTTATTTTAGAATTATTTTAGGTTTCTGGGAAACTGCCCACCTACCCCTCCCCTAAATCAACATTTTGCCCTAAACGAGAAGTAATTGTTACTGTTGGCTTAGGGGAGGGGTAGGTGGGCAGTTCCCCAGACACCTAAATTGATCCTTATTTTAACCTCATTTGCGTGCTTTTGAAAACAAAAGAGTGCCAATTCACGGGCCTAAACGACGTTGAACGTTTTTACTTACGTGGCCAGTTGATACACAAATTATTCATGGAACAGAAGAATACATATAAGGTTTAACTCTCAAAGGACTGGTTTGGGACACCAATATGGCCGCCGTTTCATTGTTTTACGACACCAATAATTAGGGAGCTTTAGTAAAGGCGTTTTTGAGCGACGCACGCCAACCGGAAGTGAGCACCTCGACACTACCAAATTTGTATTTCTAAATGTCTTTACTATTATAGAGACGATCAGTCCAAAAATTTTCGCAAAACCACCGTGCAAAAACGAAAAAATACCACTTCCGGTTGACATGCGTCGCTCAAAAACGTCTTTGCTTAAGCTCAATAATATGGCGAACGTGACGTCATGTGATAACGCTCCATAATTGGTAATAAGGAGCATCAACAGTCGGGTTAATTTTCATCGTTCGTCAGGTACCCCCAGAGGATTCTTGATGCACCCACTGTCCAATGAAGTGTACCTTTGTAAAGAGAAAAGGAGGTAAAGTACTCGCTAGGTATTGTTAAGTGATTTGTTTTCATATCTTTGTGTATTGAATATAACCAGCGTTTTCCTTAAGAAAAAAAAATTAACAAAAATTGTCATTTGGTTAAAATTACTGGCGTTTGGGGGAAACACTTTTCCAAGGCTCAGCGAAGTAGAGCTGAAGACCTAATGACAGACCGTTTAGAACAAAAAAGCGAGGTCTGTAAGATGAAACAATCACAGTTTAGTATGATAACTTTAATTTTCTGTTCTCTTTCTTCGACAAGGAGCCTTGAAGTAGGCTAATAAGTATATTAAGTATCTCTAACAAGAATATGTAGAGTAGTTCTTCTCATCCACGTTGCATTAGCTTCATTATATTTTGTTTATCTATTAATCTATTCAATGACGTTTTCTTTTTACTACCAATTTCTAGTGATTTAGACCCCTCATGCTATGTTTCGACGGACGGTGTTAAGTGGACCGGTAAGTGCTTTTAAATCATCACTTAATCTTTCACTGCGCTTGATTAACCCCGGACTGAATAAAAATAATAAAGTATTTCTTTTCGCGGTGGCTACGTATATTACCTGACCTTAAATTTAACATGGGAGCAATTGGCGAATTCGAATTTATTATTTCAGAAGTTTGATTATCATGTAACCGTTTTGCCCTGCGCAGGGAGTACTACGATGACCACGATTGAAATGAAACACTGATCTCTGCTTCAAGATTTACTACCAATTTCGTTTTTATCTTTAGGAATTGACCGGCGAGTTAAGATAATCCTTGGGATGACTGTACGTGGCTTAGAGAAAATGATTTTCGCCAAAACGTCCGATAACCAGTGTCACATGTTCAGTGTGAATGGCCATTTTTGGAGTTGTATTGTTTCCGAAGAATGGGAAAAGGAATCATCTTCAGAGGATTTTGCGCATGTTGTCTATGTTCCCCCACATCTGAAATCCGAGACTCCACAGGATGGTTTCATTTTCACTAAAAAAGATGGAACAGTTTCTTATGGGGGTATTAAATGCTTACGTATGTTTAAAACGCTGGCTTAATGGGTACTGTTGAGTTAGCAAAATAGTCCGAAACAGGAGCCGATTACTCCGAAAAAGATGTGAATTTAAATTGTTAAAAGTATTAAAATCTCTTCGATTCTTATGCTTTTTCTTTCCGTTCTTCGCTCAACATAAACATGAATAGCTTTTTCCAAAATTATTTCTCGCTGTTTTACTGATATAAAGGGCATTGTACCCCCCCATTAAACCTGACGTTTGTTTGAGACCATTCTATCTTGTTGAGACTGAAGTTCTTACATCGACAGGATCGTAAATCATTTTTTTAACTAGCTGATTTTTTAATGAAACGCTTGTTGCATTTTGCCACTAAACTAAATTTCAGGGATATTCAATATACTTAGGGTGTGGGGGAGAAGTAATTTGTCACAAAAAATTTCAAAAGTCCTTTCTTAACTAATTTGGACCCCCCCGGTCAAAAACTCCTGGATCTGCCCCTGTAAATTGGCACGGGGGAAGCCCCATGACTGAAGGAACACAAAGCAGCCCTCACAAATTGGGGTGGATTTTGCTCGATGAAACGTTTCACTGTTTTAAAACTTGAAAACAATGATAAAAACAATTAACAAGCAAATGTGAAGGCCATGTGCGTATGCTGCAAATAGTCTCCCCAAGAAACCTTTTTTTTTAACCCTGCTTTTCGTTTATAATTTGTATTAATATTTAGCCCTTTCTTGATGAACTGTGATTCCAGCTAGCTGTCTGTGCACTTGCCTAAAATTTACAATATTGTGGTTTCAGGATCAGCAAAGGGATTACACAGAAAAGAAAACAACGGGCACTGGCGTCTTGTTGCATTATGGGATTGTCCATAAATAAACTCTACGGGCGCGCTAACCAATGGTGGATCATGCCCAGTTGATGGCACATGCAAGCACCTGCATGCCAAAGTCAAAGAAGGATATCTCTTTCAAACCATTATTTCACCAAGCGGCGGTCTGTAGAGCTCTCCAGCCAACGCGCCTATAGCAGCAGGGTCTTTACATGACTGGGATCGAAAGTGCTGCCGGTGCTGTGATATCCACTAAAGATTAAAGGACCTATGTCATGCACGAGGATACTATCTGCTGTTGAAAGTGAATTTTGTGTTTAAGTCCTTTAACTTAATGCCTTTTCCTATTCACTGAAAAAATGTTCCTGTAGAGTTATGAAGAAAATATCAAACAACTTCATCAGCTAGCAATAACCAGTAATAATTTTTTGCGGGCATAACAATATCATTTGAAAAAAGTTCATTCCATGCCCATCATATTCGTAGCAAGAGAAAACAAGAAACAGTTTCAATACCACGTTTTAGCTTTATAAAAGGATAGCATATAGCGTAAGATAGCCCCTATATTATAATTTATTCTTCACGTGACTCGGATGATCACGTAGAAATGAGCACATAAAAGATGCTGTGAGGCCCTATCCACACTAATGCGTTTCGTTGTCAAAGAAACTCATGGAGTTGTATTGTTTCCGAAGAATGGGAAAAGGAATCATCTTCAGAGGATTTTGCGCATGTTGTCTATGTTCCCCCACATCTGAAATCCGAGACTCCACAGGATGGTTTCATTTTCACTAAAAAAGATGGCACAGTTTCTTATGGGGGTATTAAACACTTACGTATGTTTAAAACGCTAGCTTAATGGGTACTGTTGAGTTAGAAAAATAGTCCGAAATAGATGTGACTTTAAATTGTTAAAAGTATTAAAATCTCTTCGATTCTTATGAATTTTGTTTCCTTCTTAGTTGACGTGAGTTCGCTCAACATAAACATGGATAGCTTTTTCCAAAATTATTTCTCGCTGTTTTACTAATATAAAGGGCATTGTACCCCCCCCCCACACACCCCCATTAGACCTGACGTTTGTTTGAGACTGAAGTTCTTACATCGACAGGATCGTATATCACTTTTTAACTAGCTGATTTTTTTAATGAAAAGCTTGTTGCATTTGGCTACTAAAATAAATTTTAGGGATATTCACTATATTTAGGGTGTGGGGGAGAAGTAATTTGTCACAAAAAATTTCAACAGTCCTTTCTGAACTAAATTTTGGACCCCGCCAGTCAAAAACTCCTGGATCCGCCCCGGTAAATTGGCAGGGGGGAAGTCCCATGACTGAAGGAACACAAAGCAGCCCTCACAAATTGGGGTGGATTTTGCCCGATGAAACGTTTCACTGTTTTAAAACTTGAAAACAATGATAAAAACAATTAACAAGCAAATGTGAAGGCCATGTGCGTATGTTGCAAATAATCTCCCTAAGAAAACTGTTTTTTAACCCTGCTTTTCGTTTATAATTTGTAAAAATATTTAGCCCTTTCTTGATGAACTGTGATTCCAGCTAGCTTTCTGTGCACTTGCCTAAAATTTACAATATTGTGGTTTCAGGATCAGCAAAGGGATTACACAGAAAAGAAAACAACGGGCACTGGCGTCTTGTTGCATTATGGGATTGTCCATAAATAAACTCTGCGGCTGCGCTAACCGAACGTGGATCATGCCCAGTTGATGGCACATGCAAACACCTGCATGCCAAAGTCAAAGAAGGATATCTCTTTCAAACTATTATTTCACCAAGCGGCGGTCTGTAGAGTTCTCCAGCCAAAGCACCAATTAGCAGCAGGGTCTTTACATGACTGGGATCGAAAGTGCTGCCGGTGCTGTGATATCCACTAAAGATTAAAGGACCTATGTCATGCACGAAGATACTCTCTGCTGTTGAAAGTGAATTTTGTGTTTAAGTCATTTAACTTCATGACTTTTCCTATACACTGAAAAAATGTTCCTGTAGAGTTATGAAGAAAATATCAAACAACTTCATCAGCTAGCACTAACCAGTAATAATTTTTTGCAGGCATAACAATATCATTTGAAAAAAGTTCATTCCATGCCCATCATATTCGTAGCAAGAGAAAACAAGAAACAGTTTCAATACCACGTTTTACCTTTATAAAAGGATACCATATAGCGTAAGATAGCCCCTATATTATAATTTATTCTTCACGTGACTCGGATGATCACGTAGAAATGAGCACATAAAAGATGCTGTGAGGCCCTATCCACACTAATGCGTTTCGTTGTCAAAGAAACTCGCGGATCGATCAATTCGCGTCCACACTACTGTTTTGGTGTGTCTTCGACTGTCCACACAAAAACGTTAGAAAAAGATAGAATTGCGCGTTGTGACGTAAGTTGAACTCTATGCGCATGCTACTAGCACACGCGCCTGCGATATTTTCGGTCATCGTTTTCATTGTCATGCGTTTTTGTCCGTCCACACTAATACGATATGTATACGTTTTCGTTTTGATCCACTTTTAAGAGCGTTTTCAAATCGATGCGTTTTCGATGAAAACGTGTGGACGGAAAGCCTAAGCTCATAGAAATGTATGCGTTTTCAAACGAAACACATTAGTGTGGACGGGGCCTGATTATGAGGGGTCTCTCAATGTTGAACAGACATATATTTACGTTTTGCGTGAACCTCTGCATTCAAACAGTTTTTAGACATAGAAGGGTAGGGTCTGGGAGATGATACTAGGAAGTTTAACATACCACGACGGCGACGGCGAGGGCCACGAAGACGTCGCTTGAAAAGTGAATTTGTTTTCATTCAATCCCTCACGCGATTACTCCAACTCATTTACTTCGTCAGATGCAAAAGAACTCCTTTTGAGCCGAATTCCTTCAGCGAACCATATTCAACGTCAGAAAAAGAAAGAAAATTTAGACGTCGCTTGTTTACGTCCTCCATAAAATGTGAAATTAGGCATTTTCCCGTCGTAGTCGTGCAGTGACGGTAAAGAAATGTACAAAAAAGCGTGATGCACGTGCAGAGCCGTTGTTTTGCTTATTCAACCGATAGCTTTTTTTGACCTTTTCGTTGTCGTCGCTGTCGTGGCATCTTCAGCGGGCCCTAATGATCTCGGTTTTGTGCCCGAGATACCGTATTTCTTCGAATAATAGCCGTCTCTCGATTATGATTAATCACCTTCCTCGAATAATCGCCCTATCTCACCCCTCTCGTCATCATATCTTTCTTTTATCCCGTCCTTGTTAAGTTGTAGTGGAGTCTCATCCAGAAAACTGATTAATAACGATTCAAGCTCTGACGCCGATCATTTTAAAAAGCTCATGTTCAGTTTGATGTAATCATTTTTTATTTAATGGGATAGTAAAACAAAATGTTTAGGGCACGACTTCCAGTGAGCAACGTTTGAATTAACCGCCTCCCTCGAATATTAATCGCCTTACCTCGAATAAAAGTCCCGCCCCTGGCTATTATTCGAGGAAATACGGTATCTACAAGAGCTTCTAAAGACGTCAAATCTAATCGTGAAGGACATGTAAAGCGCCAAGATACTATTGTGATATTTTACTACATAAATTCATAAATAAAGGATTAAAAAATTCATAAATTTATATGTCGTCATTTAATGTGGGGTACGCCTTCGGGCTGAACTTTTCGTCTGAACTTGGGCTGAACTTGTCTTCGTTCTAGCGTCATTTGATAGATAGGATATGTGCCGTTCCCAGTGCAACAATGTCGTCATTTGAATTTCCTGGAGTGTGGTGTTTCCTGAGTTGCAGTGATGAACTTCTTTGAACCTTTCTTAATCACTCCTAGCGCATGCACTTAACTGACCACTGGAATTATTTCTGTCATATAAAAGTCAAAGTTTCTTCAAAGAATTAAGCTATTATTATTTATGCCAAATCTAGTATGCAGAAACAATTGCTTCCTTCATAAACAGTTCTAACTTTAAAGAAATCTGTAGACGAAATACTTTAGGTAAAAAAATTAGGACGGTACTATTGTTTTAGACTTTTCATAGTCCACTATTTTTTCGTAAGATCGTTGAGATCGAGCACCCTACCTCCTCTTAAGCTTTCCCAAGGCTGACCGGGGAGCACGCAATATGAACACAAGCAGGATGAATTCTGTCGGTCCGGATGGTATCTTCTTGCGTTACCTGCTGTATTTTCCACATCA